CAGTCTACTTTCTGTACTCCGCAAGAAAAACTGAATAGAAGCTGGGTCAGGGTCAGCCTTTAAATAAGAACTCTTTAATTTGATCGCTTAGGAGCTTAAACACTGCAAATAATAGCTAGAAAATCAATAAGAGTAGATCCTGTGATGTCATGAGACTCTTTAAATAAGGATGGTTTTGCATATATACAACAAAAAGTGAATGATTATTTGGAACACAATTTTGCTTTTGTTTTCAAACAAAAGACTTTGTGATGTGAAAAATACAGTCATGTATTAAACTGAAAGAATAATTGCAGTACTGAGACCATTCTTTTCTAAGAGTGTTAATGAAAAATCTGTTACATTTTCTAGTACTGGAGATTAGGTTGGCAGGAAATCACCCAACTACTGGCAGTCATCACATTCTAAAAATGTGTAGGTACATGTACAGCAACTGCTTTGCCAATCTTCAAAAAATCTGTTGTCTTTATCAGTAATTGTGTTGTTTTTTTTTTTTCCCTAATAGTGCTTAGCTGATTCCATCACATACAATCAGCAAGAGAAACATTAGAAAAAGACATTGCTTATTGCTCCACTCTACTATTTAAGAAAAGGATGACAACTCAACTGACCTTAATGGCAGGTATATAAAATAACTGTGGATAAACTGCATCAGGTTTACCCTTCATTCACATCAAGCTGCAGAAACTTCCACTAGCTTTGCAGCAAAATACAAGCTAAGCAACCAGATGAAAGTAATTTTTGCAGGGAATACATGGTTTTAAAGTTTCAGGTGAAAGTAGAAACATAAAGCTACTGCAGTACTGCTCTTGACTTGAAAGCAATATGGAGATATAAAGGAACCTCAGTAGGCTTCCAAGATTGGGATACTCCTTATCCAACTGTGACCTGTAGAGAAACAGGCCTTCAAAATACCCAGCTTACTGCTGGTTTTAAGATAAAATACTACCAATACCCATGTACGGTTGTAAAGTTAGGACTTAGAGAACTTTATTGAAAAACAATTTATGCCAAAAAAGATTGTTGAGGAAGAAGAAAGTTCCAGCTATTTGGAAACACCAAAATGAGATTCTTTAGCTCCAACTAATCTTGCAGAAGATGGCAGTTAGGGAAAAAGCATCAGAGAAAATACCTGCTGAAGCACCAGGCAAATGACAAATGGGCAAAGGCATTAACATAGATGGTGTTTTTGTCTTTATTTGGCAATGAGACAGAGTGGAAAATCAATATGATGACAGATCAAATTGATGTGCAGTGATCCCGCAGTAATAGGGAAACATTTTAAAACACCAAAACTTAACTAAATGCAAAGAGAGAAAAGGGAGCTTAAGCTGCTGTCCACATTTCATAATTTGTAACTGCAGAAGATTAGTAGTTGAGTAGGATTGGATTTTGAGGCAAATGTGAATTCTTTTGAATGACAGCCTTAGCTAGGAAAATGAGCTACAGAATAGCAATAACTTATTTACAAGAGCAGTCACCAAGCCGTTCCTTAACACTTTCTTTAATGTCAAATAACTGAAGAAATAGGGAGGGGGGAACTGGCTGGAATTACAGTCCTGAACTGTGCTCACAAGGAACAGAAGCACTCCCAAACTGGCAAAGCAAACTGCTCACTTGTTCAGCAAGATCCTGGGGAAAACCTGTGAACTGGTTCAAGGTAGCAAATGAAGCTCACCCGCAAATAACAGTAATGACAGAAAAGGACTGCCTTGAAGGGAAGTGAATTTTAGGCTTATATTTCTTTTCTCACTAATTAACTGGAAATACTATATCTTACCTAATTTATGCAAAGTTTATATATAATTATGTGAAGCAAAGAATTACTTTTTTTTTTTTTTTTAAATTTTCCTTCCTATTTCCCTCAAATTTGTAATTTTATTCAGATCATTTCACAGAAGTATCTTCAGAAAAAAGGGAGGCCCTAAAGAAAGTCATCAGGTGTAGACAGGGTTACTGGAACTGATTACTTGCCTTAGATTTTATACCAAACCTGAACAGTTATGTTGTTCTGTATCACAAAGATGCACAGATTTCAACTGAGACAAGTACAGAGACACTAACCAAACAGGTTAATTAAGTTAATGAAAGCTCCTGTAGTATAATTTAGGCCAGGCAACTGAGATAGCTTCTGCAGCATCATCACTAAGGAGTGGCAAGAGTGCTCTTGAGCAAGCATGTGGGGGAATTCAGGCCTGGATTATACCTGGCTGGAGAAATTAAGCTCATTAACTTCTCCTCCACATCACCAAAATATTTTCTTCCATTTCTAATGATGGTGTTTGGTGTAAAGGAGTTGTGCTGTGTGGGGAAACTGGAGTTCATAAGTGATTAAATTCTAGATCACAACAGATTCTCAACAACTGCAGCACCAATAAGCTCAGTATACTTCTTGAACCCCCAAAATGCCACATAACACTTTATATTCCTGCCTCTGGAGCAAAATTATGGATGTACCACTCCAGAACTCTTTAAAACAAAGAGCAGACTTGTTAATGGATGCATTTTAAAATACAATGAAGATTCAGAATTTTCCTTTTTGAGAGAAAACCAAATAAAAAAAACCCAGCTCATGACAGAGAATTTATCTCTAGGGTTCATCCAAAAGTGCTGTGAGCTGCCCAAAAGCATCAAGAAGCATTTATGCATGATGGAAACATCACCTCTCAGCAACCTTTACTACAGCAGGCACTCTGCCATGCATGTCAGCCCACAAGCTTTTAAGGAAAGAAACAGTTGATAGCAATGGCATTTGGGCAAAGATCCCCCAAAATAACTGTAAGAACAGACCTGTTCAAGTCATCCACATACCACACATTACAACAATAAATTTTAAAGGCATCAGTAGACTTCTACCCTGTATTGGATCTCCAGTGAAAAATGTAAAAGATGAGCCAAATAAGGCATGTGAACTGAAACTTCAAAAGGCATGGAAAACTAACACTGTGAAGCATCATACTGGTAGGCCAGCTACTTTAAGCAAAATCCAGAAACCTATGTCTTACTTGGGATACTGTGGAATTGCTATTGGGATAATTCCTTGTAAAATATAATTGCTGAGAGAGAAGGGCAAACAGGTAAGTTTGCTTTCACATGCTTTTTATTACAAATCTGTTTTGACTAAACTCTATGAAAGCAGCATAATGATAACATTGCAGTCAGTATGTTAAAAGGTTACAATGCAATAATCTGCATTTTATGGAAAAAAACAGAGGACTAACAGCAAAGAGAACAAAAATGAATGAACAAATTTAAACAAGCATATCTTTCTTACAGAACTGCTACCTAGACTTGAAGTATGTGAGCCCATCTCTACTCACAGACTGAATTCAGAGTAACCAACCTATAGCAGAAGTTAAGGATCAACTTAAGTGCTGAAAACACTGGTGTTTTTAATGCCTCCTGTTTTGTTTTGTTTTTATTTCAAACCACAAATGTTATGATAGTCCTCTGGAGAAATATTAAATATAATGACATTCAGGAAATGGTAAACTAGTCATATTCCTGTGAAGTTACTGAACTCACACCATAGCCATATGACAAATGAACTAAAAGAGAAATTTTTCTTCACAGCTTTCTTTTGACCAGATACAAACAAGTACGCCTGCTACTTCAAGGACTTGCAGAGACTGTGCAAGTGGACAGATTAGACTGGCAGGTTCAGAGGGGTTCAAACATAGCAAGATTTGGAACAGAATGGAAAATTTTACAATATAAGAATCAAGTCTTCAGCCCCTTGCCATCTTTTGCTAAGTGAAAATTGACTGTCACCCCCAGGAGGAATAACACCGCAACAGGACATCCCTGTGGAGTGTCTGCACATCCTTTGTGTCCTGGTATCACTGATGGGGTAAATCACAGAATCATAGAATTGTTAAAGTTGGAAAGGACCTTAAGATAATCTAGTTTCACCCCCTCTGCCATAGGCAGGGATGTCTCACCTTAGACTAAACATTATACAACTGCCTCTCTTCTATGTGGAGAAACATTTTCATCTGCTTCTCCACCGTAAAACACAGCAATAAAATTTTCCTCTTCTCCTTATTAACTGTTCTTTTAACAAGGTGCTTTAAAAATATTCAGCAAATCCCAGGATCTTCAGTTATTCAAAAGTTAAATAGACAAGCCAATTGCTTCTTCCATTCTGTACGTGTGTAAACTTGGAGAAAAGATAGTAATGGTATTGCTAAATTGCTTAGCAACTGTAGGTAGAAAGCTAATATGTCATAATTTATATGTGAAAGATTACAGGTTGTTAGTAGCCACATCTAGTGCTATTGAGGCTTCCCACTGAGAACTGCACTGCAAACTGGCAGCTGACTCAAAACACTGCTATTTTCAACAGTTCAAAAACTGTAAATGTGTCAGCGACTGGTCAAACAGGCTTCGATACTGACGACTTATTGCGATCTTTCACACTAGTGTCCTACTGACTTATATAAATCACTCCCAGGCTGAAAACAAGCCCTCTGCACAGCTTTGTAATGAATTCATGTGCTGAATCAGTCTTGCTAGCTTCAGAGAGGTGTTGGAAGGTGATTTTGATCAGTCTCAACTAGACGAAGACAATTTCTATGAGCCATATTTGCTAATATGCACCAAGAAGAAGTAAATATGCTTTTCTAGGGCTCCTTGGGAGGTCATAAGGGATAAAAAAACATGAACACCTCAACAAAATAGAAAAAGTCAGTGAAACAGATCTGCAACTACTATTTGTGCTCATTAACAAAGGAAAATTCATGGCTGCTGGGTTTGGTTTAACCATAAGGTTTGGTTAGTGGTGGTGAAGGTTTCCTTGGGCAAGGGTTTCTGCAACTGCGGTACCAAAGACACGAAGACCTGTGTGAGCTTTTATAGATTTATCTTCTATGTACGGCAGAATAAGGATGGTTATACTCAGAAACTGAAGAGTATGAATATAATCTTAAAACCAGTCAACCACTTCTATACCTGAAATGCAAAGAAGATAAACATTTGGGCAAATGTATGTGAAACGTTACCTGCAACCACTGTGACTGGTCATTGTGGCCAGAGGTCCAGGCATTAACTTTGCCTTGCTTGTCCAGCCGTGCTTTCCTGGGCTCCCAAGTGAACATGTCCATGTTGAGTGTACGGAAAACACTGGAAGCGCTAATTTGGTAGTCCTGTATATGTCCTGATTTCATCCCCAGCGGTTCAGAGCAACCTGGAACAGCAAAATAATATTTGTGACACTACCTACCTATCTCTGCAAGTGGTATAGGTTTTTGGTTATGGAAAAGAAAACTAGCAATTCTTGAAAAAGGCTTTAATCAAGACTATTGTTGGAGGAACTTGCAAAAAAACAAATGAAAAATAGCTAATTCAAGGCACTTTATTTCGACAGTAGCTTGGGAGAATCAAAAACAAGATAGAGAATTCAACGTATTTCATCCTGGCATAAATGTATGAAGGCAAACAAACAGATAAGATGACTTTTGTCTCTTCTTATCTGGGCTTTATTTTCCTGTCCAGCAGCTTGCTATCATTTCCCCTATTCATTTTTTTTTTTTTTTTCATGCTTTTATGCCATGTCACATCAACTATCTGTTTGCCTACTGAGGAAACATTTTTTCTTAAAGCCACTGCTGAAGTACAGTGTTAACAAGCACTAAACTCTTCTATACTTTTCAATTGCTTGACATCTAGCCAAAAATTTAGAAAGCCCCAGCACCCACTAAGGGAGTGGAAGACTACAGAAAGACAACTGTAAAGGAGGGAGAATAGTAGGAGATAATTGCTTAGAAGAAATAGAGTTAATGGCTTATTTGCTTAAATCACATAGATGTCCCAAGTGACTGAGTTACTTTGATTGCAGCATGTTGGGCGTCCGGGGCGGGGGCGGGGGGAAGGAATAGTAAGTGGCTCTACGCTCCTCTGCTTCGCTATTGTACACGGGGAAACGAGAAGGTTTTTGGACCCAGAAGAGGGAAGAAGCAAGCTGTCAACAGGAGAGACACCCTTTGATAGCAGGACTATAACAACAGTGCTGGAAGGCAAGGAAGGCAGATGAGCTGCATAGTTTTAATATTAAAAAAGATAGGAAAATGAAAGTCAAGCCAAGTGGCTGAGAGCCAGAGGGCTGCTAAGAGGTTAAGAAAGGTGGATGTAGAGCTAGGTGGAGTAATGTTCGGTTATTGAGGAAAAGGTAAAAGACGGAGATGAGAATATAAAAAGAAGCTGTTTTTTCATTTCCTTCCTGCCCCAGCTGTCAAAAACCTGTACACGTGCAGCTGTCCCAGAGTTTTCACTTCACAAATTCAGGGATCCTACTTGGTTTAGCAGCTGACATAACTCAGTTAAATTGCCCATAATATTTTGACATATTCTAACTAACTGAGTGAGGTGTGCTCAGGACCTAACATACCTGGTTTTGCAGAGAGTGCGTCATTACTGTGAATACACAGAACCTTGACTTCATGTATCATTAGGAAGACAGAGGCTTTCCACCTGATACTCATACGCAGAGCTGGTTCCTATCAGTCATTTGCTGAGTAACCTGCTGTGTTTCTTAAAGCACACAGATAAGTCATGAAGGTTTTCCTGTTGCAACCATGACCTACTCTGCTGGTGCCTCTTGACAAACTAGGAGCATTGTGTGACCATTTAAAACACCTTCAAAGTTTTCACTCTGTTTTTCACTTTATTTGAGCTAGGCATCAAAGATGGTTCCCCGTTTCATAAAACTTCATTTCCTCCACAATATGTTTATCAGATTTAAAGACGTGAGTTTTTTTTTACTTTCTTTACTATTATTAGCAAAACCCTTTTGGTCAGATTCTACTTTCTGTTTATTTCTGTAGGTTTAATGCACACGATTAAGTAGACTTATGTATTCAAATCAAGAAGGTGAGACCAGGCTCTTTGTGGGGAGTCTGACAGTGAGAGCATGTGTATTACTAGAGACAGATAATATGGTCTTTAATGTAGTAAGTACTGCATTTAAAATTTGAAATACTGATGTGTTTCATACTAAATTGAAAAATAAGAAAAACCACCAGAGTTCACTTTTGAAAAATTATTGTCTCAGAACTGATTCTCAGTGCACAAATGAAAATTGCACAGCCTTGTCTGTAGAAAGAACTACCTAGTTCAACAAGAGAACAATTTTCCCAAGAGTATGAGGGAACACTTGATAGCACAAATGTGGAAGACTCATCCGTTGCTTTAAAAATGGACTTATTGTTCAATTCTGAAGTATCAATTCAGGATCACGAGGGCTGTCAGCAGGAATGTTTCATCTGAGGAACCTGAAGCAGGTTTCTGACACAAAAACATGGGTTGTCAAAACTGTTTTTCAGTGCTGGTTCAATCCATCAAAAATAATTCTATCTTTTCTGAGTATTATTATTGATTTATGAAACAACAGATGTCTCTACCTGTGTGTCTGTGTATGCGTGCATGCATTAATGGGATTTTACACTTGCTTTCCTTCTCCCCTGCCCCAAAGGGAAAAGGAAGACAGTTGTTAAAGGTAACAGGAGAAAGTAAGAAGAACAATGAGAATCAGAAGAGAGGAAAATGGTGGCCAAGCAATGTGTTTGTGCTGTGTCTCAGAGAGCAACAGCAGACCCAGTTGCTTCCCAGCTCCTACAGCACCCTGCTGCAATGACATAAAGTAATGACGACTTACTTTGATAGGCGAGCTGTTACCTATACAGCAAAGGACAGAAACATCAAACTAGTACAAAACTTTGTGTCTGTAGCTAGTCATCCCTCACAAAAGTGTGTCTATAATAATGCTTCTGACTCCACAGGACATCTCTTCACTGCACTGTATCTTCTTTAAATTTGCTTTGTAATGTCCCTGCAAAGGGATTCAATCTCCCTTTCCATTTTTACAACCTATTAAAGTTAGTGAGAACTGATGTGGACATACAGCTATGGTCAGTGGACCATCTTAGGTCAAAATATTTGAGATACTTTCATATCACCATCTCTGATAAATGATATCTGGCACTTCTGCATGTTTTAACCTGTCTAGGTATAGGTTTTGCAGTTAATCCTTATTTGGTCTAGCTTAATGAAACATGAACAGTGAAACAATGAGGATGAGAGTGGATTAGCCTGAAAGAATCGACGTGAAGGCTATTCTTTGTTCACTCTTCTGAGAGCACAATATTTTACTCTGCGTCTCCTTTCATGAAAACTCAAACCCTCAACAGAAATATTAAATATCCAAAACCACAAAAAGATCTCCATGCAAAGGTCTACATGCATCTTGTCTGGCGCCAGGATTTGTGCAGTATTGGCAAAAGCAGCATAGGTAAATTATTTGAGGGCAAAGGTGATTTTGTTTTAGCTAATACCGTGTTATTTTTCTTCTATGAAAATCCAGAGATTTCATTTCTTTTTCTCTTAATGAACACTGGATTTCTTTCCAGATTAGATAGTGCTAAGAAGGACAAGGTAAGGGGAATCTAGTATGAAATGCAGATGTTACTAGTCCCTTTGTGTGTGAGTTTGTGTGAATAGTAGCTAAAGGTACTGTTAGGATCGAAAAATAGTAACTTGCCAAAAAGAGGAAAATTACATGCTCAGAAGATGTTGATTTTCAAACGGATGGTTAAGCCCTGGGGACCAGCATTCCTCTGCAAGACTTGATAAACTCAGAATACCAAGGATTTGCTGAATTGCTGCACAGCCACCAATATACGGGAGAATCAACAATGTATGGCATAGACTTGAATGCAGAAAGGCAGAGCCTCCTCTGTGTAGCTGTTTCATTGCATGAGTGAACTGCATGAGTAAGTGACTATGTTGTGCGAACAGTCATCTGTCTTCAGATACAGAAGCTTGATGTTACTAGTAATACCAGCATAATGAATAAAGGCATTCTAATAAACAGTAGCTGTGATCTGCTTCTTCCCCCACATCAATGTTTATGAAGGGAAGGGAGTTTACAACACAGATGTGCAAAACACAAATAAGGCAGGAACAAAAGTCCATGAAAATTAATGCCTAACTCACCAATGTCAAACTTCACAAACACTGATCATGGTTTTTGGTAATATCTGACCATGGGTCCTGGTAAGTAAACCTATTCATAAGCCTCGAGCAGATTATATTGAACATCTTGCTGAAGTTGAAGTCTGTACTAAGAAATAATTACTTTTTAATCATCTGGTGCTGTGAGGCGGTCTCCCTCCCTTCAATACTGAGGTTTTTTTCCTAGCACCAGGACTTTTTAGAAAAGTCAGGCATCTCAAAGTATTTTTCTGTCTAAGACAGATCACCTGGAATTACAGTGAATTAGTCTGTTATGTATAACTGTACTCTTATGAAATTGTTCTGCTGAGGCTTGGCTGCCTGCAGTTCAAAGAAACAATGACCTTGAAACTCTTAGGAGACCACTGAAATGTATTCACTTCAGTAGCTTTCACAGTTCTTTGAGCAAAACAATTCCTGGTCATTCTGGCAAGGACTTACTCTAAATTGTAGTTCTAGAAATGGAAGATATAAAAAAAAAATCTAATAGACTAAAGCAGCTAGACAGAGTTTTCCATTTACTCTCAAACCTATCTATATTGGAAAAGGGCTACAGTGAGATTTATGCATTAACTTTTCATTTCTGAATCTGGTTTTGATGCCACTAGAGGACTGAAAATTATTTAACTCCAGCTGCTCTGATATATCATTACTGAACTGGATGACTATTGTTTGTACAGTAAGCAGGCAGCCACATAAAAATCATTCTTAAATGAATTCAGTGGAGCACTCCCATTGGTAAAGGGCTGATCTCTTGAAAAAGATAAAAAATTTACATGCTCTGCTGAATTTGTAAGGGAACATGGTTCTTGCAGAGAGTGGCTAGAGGTCAGGCTTTATATCTATGAGCTATAACTTCTGCTACTACAAACCTTAAGAGGGTTTGTATTGATTCCACTTGCTCATTTACTTTTTGCCATGAGATGCTTCTGCTAGAAACCCACAAAACAAATCTAAACTGAAATCTTGGCTAAAGTAGCATAGCAAAAAACACCTTACTGCACTCTGAGTGGTCCTCAAGGGCAGTGAAAGAACCCTTGTCCCTCCAAGGATGTCACACAGCGTCTCGGCGGGCTTACACCACAAACAGAAGGAATTACATCAACTTTGATGCCTGCTTCTGCCGTGCCTCTGCTGTGCAGCACTGCACACACAGCTTTGGCTCCCAGAAACTCTTTCCAGTGCTTAGTTTAGCCTGTCCTTAGTGTAAATGCAAATCAGAGAATCTTTGTCTCTTAATTTGCTTAGTATAGAACGTTACGGTCCTGATTGCTCTCTACAACTGAAAAGAGGCTGAAGCCAGAAGGTGGCTGGTCTCTTCTCCCAAGAACAAGTGACAGGACAAGAGGAAAAGGCCTTAAGCTGTGCCAAGGGAGGTTTAGACTGGAGATAAGGGACAATTTCTTCCCCAAAGGGTGGTCAGGCATTGGAACAGTCTGCCAGAGGGCAGCAGTGGAGTCACCATCTCTGGAAGTACTCACATACCACATACATGAAGCCGTCAGAGACACGGGATAACGGTTGGACTTGATGATCTTAAAGGTCTTTTCCAACCTAGTCGATTCTAATTCTATAATAGCTGTTGATACTAAAACTGCTATAAATGTCCTTTTCCAGGTTGCTGGAAAAGTGGAGGCTAATGCATGCTGAAAGATTTACTAAGTGTTATTAGGTTGCTACTATATTACCTTACTGCTGTTACTGCCCTTCTGCATGCAACTACTGCACTTCCATCACTTAGGTAAGTGCTGCTGCTTAAATAATTCGCATAAGGAGAGATAAGCAACTGGCTAAGTTGCTAGAAATAAAACTTCATTTCACCAAGAATACCAGGTTGCTCCAAGCCCCATCCAACCTGGCCTTGAGCACTGCCAGGGATGGGGTAGCCACAGCTTCTCTGGGCAACCTGTGCCAGGGCCTCACCTCTCTCACAGGGAAGAACTTCTGCCTAAGAGCTCATCTCAATCTCTCCTCTGTCAGGTTAAAGCCATTCCCCCTTGTCCTGTCCCTACAGGCCCTTGTCCAAAGCCCCTCTCCAGGTTTCTTGTAGCCCCTTTAGGCACTGGCAGCTGCTGTAAGGTCTCCCCAAAGCCTTCGCTTCTCCAGGCTGAAAAAGTCCAGCTCTCTCAGCCTGTATTCCCATGTCAGGGGTTGAACTGGATGATCTTTAAGGACCCTTCCAACCCAAACTATTCTGAGATTCTATGATTCTGTGAATAAAATGCGCATGGTTTAGACTTCAGCGCTGTTGGTGGTTGACTGCTGAGGGGCAGTGGTTGCAGAACACCCACCTGACAGCTCACAGCCCAGAAGTTCCATTCTCAATGTGCAGTGCCTTCTGCACACCTGAGGATACAGCCGTATGTACTGTGACTTGATAGGAGGGGTGAAGGAGTTGGCATATGGGGTGTTGTTGTCCACATTGCCATGGAACACCTATGATAAAACAATATATACATAAAACTGGAGGTTCAGTTCATTTCCGTATCTCAGAAATACCAGGGTTGTTCTTCTGCACGTTCCCCTGCAAGTTTTTCCCAGAGTCAGCTTTATCATTTCTAGTGCCCAACATGCAAGTGTATAAGCAATACATGCTGACATCAGTTTGCATCAGCACGTGCTTGCCACGTGCTCCGAAACGGGACCTCTATCTTGTCACCCCTAGAAACTGGAGCTACTAATGCAACTAAATTATGTCTTCTTTTCTAATTAGTGTATTAAATAATCCCAATTCAATTTAGCCTGCAATTCTTTGCACTGATTCACATTTATTTTTCTCCCTCTGATTCAAGAACCTGATCCAACTCCCACTGAAGCACATTGCAACCCTCCCACTGATAGCATGGGGAGCTGAATGAAACCTATAAGCATTCTTCTGTTCACTCCTCACTAACCAGATATGCCTGTAACTTTGTTTTCTTCTTTCATTAAATACCTTTTCATACAGCATTTCAATTTTCTAATAGAGTTACTATGTTTAATGCTGCAAAGGCCTTAGCTCTATCCTAAGTTACACAGTAAAGGGATTTTTGCTGCTTTGTATGCACAACTCCATAAAAAAATAAGTGGTAACTACAAACTGCAAGTGCATGCTTCCCACTGAATAATACTGTTTGCGCCGTGCAGAAATTAGCATTGATGAATGAGTTCTGTGATTCTAAGGGTTAACACTAACATTCCAATGTAATAAAAATAAATTGAAAATGGAAGAATGAATAATTGCTGGTAAACTAATTAAAACGAAAATCAGTTAAATGTAATAAACAGGATTATTCTAGCCTTGGGACGTAGTATTTATACAACCATCAATTAAAGTACAAGAAATTCTTAGCAGACAGAATGTGCAAATTTATTGATTGGGTTTTTTTTTTTTTTCAGACAAAAATAATAACAAGGCAACCTATATCACAGTGTCAGGCAATTATGCTCATCTTCTAGAGATACCTCTTAAGGCAACTAAAACACAGCACATTTTCACATAAAAATGCCTTAATCTTACCATATCGTCATTTGTGCCTTTTACTTTGTACATTGCCCACGACTTCCCATCATTACTGTATGCAATTTTGTAAGATTTTACATATTCTGGACTTCCTATCCTCTTGGCACCTTGAGTTATAACTCCAGTGACTCGCATCTTCTTCTGCAGGTTTATCTGAAATAACAGTACAATGTTATCATTAACCACTTGAGGGTCACAATTCTGATTCTTGATTCTTTGATTCCTTTATTTTATTTATTTAACAGAAAGAAAAAAATGTAGCTGTAGCACTTAAATTACTATCTTTTTACTTGCAATAATTCTTTTTGTCTTTCATACATTTAACGTACCTATGCACATAAATAAATGAAAAAAATCCCTGAACCAAAAGCCTGTACTATGCTTATGTCTCCACATGTACATGTACACACACACACACATCTATATTACTGATATATAGAATATTACTGGTGTATTACTGGGAAATAGCATATTACTGGTATATGGGATTACTGCTGTATATTTCCTTCCTAAAAAGGAAATGCAACAGTGTGATGACAATGTAAATAATGCATTAAAATACATTAGCACTTGCCTCCTTCAAATGAAACTTGCCTCCGCTCTCCAGTTAGTGGCTCTGACCCACTGCAATCCCCACTATTCAGGACAACAGTCCCAGTACAGGAGTATGGGGAGTAAGAGACATATCAGGTCTCTGCTGTCTAAATACTTAAATCTCTTTATTCTTTATGGTGTAGTCTCAAGATTTTCTTTCACTTGATAATGTAATCTAGCCTCTATTAAGTGTTTCAATATCTTCCTGTGTACACATGGGAAAGCAGAAGAAAGAATTTTACTGTTCTTTTGAGAGAGTCTAGCTATTTCTCTGCTACTTATCTGAAATATTTGGGCTTATGATATTTTTCCTCTTGAGGCAAAAGAAATTTCAGTATAGTTTTACCACAGTTCTCCCTGTAAGAAACTGATAAACACTCATACATCTTTAACATAACAAAGGGTATTTTAGAGTTTTGGACCCATTAAGAGAGCAGAAGATGACTATAAAAACTCAATTTTTTTTTTTTACATGATCTTTCTCAAATATTCCAGGAAAACTCAAGAAAATTTGCAATTGCAATGGTGAAAAGGGACTCACATCAGGAATTTGCATAGGTACATATTAGAAGAAATTCAGGCCTTTTCACAGTCTTGGGAAACCTTTTCCCCCATCCCGGAGAAAAAAAAAAAAACACAACATATTATATTTGTAAGATAACAGCTCCAGAGACTACTATCAGCCCCCTAACTACATTTAAAAATGTAGTTAACATAGAACAAGCAGTTAGACATAAAGGTTTCTAGAAGTTTGTTATGCAGGTTCCAGACTCTAAAAAGAATTCAAGAATTTTAATAAACAGGCAAGTAAAACAATTTTTCCTATACTTACGAAATGGTTAATAAAGAAGTGAATGCCATCTCTGAACCAAATTAGAAACCATACCCAAACAGAAACCAGCCATTGATTATTTGCCTTTTGCACATACTGACTAATTGTATCTTCACATTTCACTGTTTGGGAAAAGGCAGATATAATGCAACACCAGATAAAATTTCTTGGATCCAGTTATGTATGCACCTAATATTCTTCCAGTTTCATTCCCAAATTTTCTTTTATCCAGATAATAACCTTAGCAAGTTTTTTTTTGGATCAGAGTTTATGTGAGGGTTTTTATGTTTGTTGGTTTTTTTTTCTGTGTTTCCTTTTTATTATATTCCCACACTGGGTGTTTCCCATGTCCAGGCCCCCATCTCTTAACGCACAACAAATCAATCACTGCACTTCAAGAAGTAAAAGAATGACAAAAGACCCACCCAAAATTAATCTCTCAATGAGAGTAAAATATTTAATACGGATACTGTTTAAACAGTGTTCTGTGAGTTTCAGGAGGTAAAAACCCTGCCTTTTTTCCTGCTATGTATCATCCTGCTCTATAGGCTTATCTGGACATCTGTGCAATTCCATTTACTTCTCTGTTTTAATAGACAGAATCTTTCCTTTTAGAGGTTTTCCTGATCAGTATCCATACTTTGAGTTGCAAACTCAGCTTTGGCTTTAAGCACTACTGAGCCTGATGTAACACAGAAAATAGAGGACACTGTGTTTTGAAATTAGGTCTACATACTCTGTCAATGTTTCCAGGCAAATCCTAATGAAGGGGAGGAAAAACCCTGCACTTTTCAAATCCCTGCAGCTTCCTTATGTACAAAATATGGCTAACATCATGCCTGTGGTAGCTTCTTTCAGTGCATATGGAAATAATTGGCACTTTATGTCTGAGCTCTTTTATGTGTTCTAAAATTTTCAAGTCAGAGCTTATCAAATCTCAAAATATTGCAACTGTGCAATGACTATAACAACACAGGTGCCGAAACATGCTTTCTTAATGTACTTCAGTAGGAAGCAAAGTTCCCCATGTGAAATGTGAACTAGCTCTGTTAGCACTAAAAGCACTTTCAAAGGTATTTTTCTGCAGCAATTGTAAAGAAAAACAGCTATGGAAGCTCTTCTTTGTGGATTCAGACATAGGACATAATGTTCAGACTAAATTCTAATTATATTGGTGACTATGTTTTAAAACAAAGAGGTGAAAGTCACCAGGATAAGAACAGGAGTTTAACACATCTTTTAACTGAAGGTGAAAGTGTATTCAGTTATAAAGGACCCCCTACCATTACCTAGAATAACTGGGAAAAATCAAAGATAATAGAAGATCAATAGTATTTTGAGGGATTTACCTCTGTAATTTAAATACTAATGCATGATAAAGAACTTGTAAGAAGAGACACTTGCATATAAATTTGAGGAAATTACTCACAAAAAAAAAAAAAAAAGAAAAAGGTAATAACAGACCAATCAGTTCTACCAGCCCTATTTAAATTTAAGATTATTTTGAGAGTAACAGATTCAGAACTGATGCTCAGTCACTGTCCACAGAGCTGCATTCCACCCCCAGCTCAGAGAGGGTTCCTGGGTCCAGCAGCTTCCACAAGACTTAATTCACACAACATCCATCAGGGATTCAGCTGTGAAGCAGATCCAAAGATGCCTTTGTTGTTCATCCTCATGGCACAAGGCATTATGAAACTCAGGCAAGGTGTCCTTTAACACCTACCAGTAACGGAATTTGCCTCAAAGAGGTTTTGCATTTCAGTGAGGAAGCTTTCTGGGGCGGGAATAAATTACATACATTGGAGCAGTCAGGTAAAACTGCATGTAAAGGAAAGCCAGTAGTCTGACATCAACTCTTTTAAACATGATTTCTACAAGAAATAGATTATGTCTACAAAATACAGTGGATGATGCAAAGTCATCATGCTGATAGGCCAGGTTGGACAGGGCTTGGAGCAACTTGGTGTGGCAGAAAGTGTCCCTACCCATTGCAGGGTATTGGAACCGGTTCAGCTTTAAGGTCCCTTCCAACCCAAACCAGCCTGCACTTCTATGATGCTATGATAGTATGAACAGCTCAGCTAGAGCACAGGCATGGCAGTCAACTCAATAGACAGAGCCAGGGGATTAGGTACAATACCTCGGAGTCAGTGCTGTATACACTCTTGAAATCTGAATTCATGTACCACCAGTCACTTGGTGCCTTCTATACTATATCATATAGCCAAGACCACCTAAAAAGTAAATCGCTTGAGGCATACTTCCTCTAGTGTGATACATGTCCAAGAACTAGGGAATAAAATCAACCCTGTCAGTTTAAAAAGTTACCAGCAGTCCTTGAAATTTATTTTAACCTTGTTCCTTTCAACCATCACTATCATCCTGACTCCATGATTAGAACACTTCTATCATCCCAAGCAAGGTCATGTCCTCTTTCAAAAGGAGGGGAAGAAGTAACCGGTATGCCATGTTTCCTGCTTTCAGCACTGATTCTGTACGAGTTATCATCTATGAAACAATTTTCACTGGCATGCTAATGTTTTTCACTGCAATGACTCACACAAATCTATTTTACGATCCTAAATCATTCAGTTGTCTACACTGACAAAGATGCAGCCAGTCAAGATTTTACTGGAAATTGAAAAAACCCATATCAGAAAGGAAAAAAAAAAAAAAAAAAGAAAACTGAGTATTTTCCCAAAAGAAAATGGTAATATGAACAAGGTAATTTTATGAGTTCCTATATATTGTACAGTGCATCATTTTCAAAGACAATTCGGAACTAGTCCAGAACCATATACATGGTGTTTTTGCAGCTGCACTTCTAGGTGTGAGTACATGTAGGACCATAACGCTGGAGGGAAGTGCTTCAAACTTGTTTTCCATATGCAGTCCAAAGGGTTCAACAAAACAAACTTACCAGCATGCTTAACAGCTGCTATAACTCCAGAAAAAGACTAAATGCACAATCAGAATATGTCAAAGTAACAGAATAGCAGAGACTGGGGACAGCACCAGTGCGAGTTCATACTCCTCTTCAATTTGTGATCAAATATTAGTTTATTCAGTATGTAGGAGCTAGGTACTTGACAAAACAGATAAAAGAATCAGATGCATCTGTCTCATCTACATTATTACATTCAGGAGAGGAGAAGGCAGATCAGAAGATGGAGTGACTTGAAGAAGACACTGTATATAATGATCCTGCCCAGAATACATAACCATAATCCCATCATTTGTTATTGCACTATTAGCAATAACACTACCAACATTTCATACACAACAGATTTGTCTGAAACATACGTTAAGAGCAAGCTTCCAGGAAATGCTCATATTAAAGCCTTTATGAAACACTGGGTCCTGGAGACGATAAATGAAGTTTTATATGAGCCTTCATTAAAAACAGAAATGCAGTTTATGGAGAACTATGGTGTTTACCTGTTTCAGTTCTGAGATACAATAGCATTGCTAGAAATTATTTCCCATATATTCTAGCATATATATATATTTTTCCCATATATTCTAGTGTATATATATTTTTACTAACAGTCACTATTACTCATATAAAAATAGGGTTGAATAAGAGATCAAGGTTATACTGACATTCAAAAATTTATTACAGCAACCCTTCTCTGCTGATTTTATAAGGTTTTAAAAGACTGAAATTTGAATTTTTTTATCCTTTTTTTTTTCACGTCATAGTTCTAATAGATCTAGATTGGGT